TCGCTTGGATGCGTGGGGACCCCCACATTTTTTCACGTTTTTAGATAGCCCCTTCGGTACTCTAAATAACTGACACAGTTTCATTCAAATAAAAATGGGTCGCGAACTGTACCCACCATCCTTAATAGTATCCTTTTATCGATTTGGAGGACAAAACAAAACAAATTATGTTCTTTTAGAATTCCTTGTTGATTCTAAAGGTTGTTAGGTGTCACTTTCTAACGTTCGTGTGATCTTGTTTAAAAATATTCCGTAGTAATAGCTTTATAATCTTATTTGTATTTCTGTCATCAGGCAATGATGGATCGCAAAAAGAAATCTGAACTTCCAAAGATGCAAGTTGGGTTCATTGACTTCATCTGTCTGCCGGTTTACAAGGTTGGTTTTCAAAACCCCAATTAGTAATATTCAAATTTTATCGATACCCTGATAAACAACTTAGCCATCAAGGAAAGGCTACCTCACAAGTCATAACAATCTTTTCATTTTTTCAATCATTTTATATTGTTTTCAACTTTAGATGTTTTATGAGCTCGAACCTTGTATGAAACCTATGTATGATGGGTGTGTTAATAACCGGGCAAACTGGCAGGCTTTGGCTGACAAGCATAAGGAAGGTGAGATAGATAGAAGCACTGGCAAACGATAAACGACCTCTTTACCTTGGACATAATGTCATGCCCCTTTCAGACCTGATGTCTTTCCTTTGAGTATTATTTCTTTGATTAATGGTGGCGCGTGACAAGACATCGAGACAATATCGAATCAGATACATGTAAAACTGAAAAAGAAAATTCTCATTCGCCCAAGGGGTCTATAGGTTTTACAACAGACTTTTACTTAAGGCTGTGACCTCATTCATCCTCTCCCCCAAATTAACCGCGATTGGCCGCAACACACTAGAAGTAGGAGTTTTCAAATCAGGACCAGTAAAAAGTTACGTTTGTACAATCGTTTTTATAGAGAAAGGAGAGTAGAGGATGGTGATCAAATGAGGTTATTGGATACCTAGTAAACCCATTCTTCTTGGAAAATTCCTTTTACGTCCCTGTTTTGATAAAGTACTGAGAGCTTTCAAAATCTTTTTTTTTTATTTTCTTCTTCTTCTTTTTTGAGACAGAAAATGAAAGGGAAGCCGAAAAAGAATCACAAGCAACAAAAGAGACCTCGAAAAGCGATAACAACAACAAGGAAACGAGACCCAAATCTGCTGACAAGAAAAGAAAAGATGCTTCAACTACGAGCGATACGGGACGACGAACCGAGAAAAAAACCTCGGCAGAGAAAATCAAACCAACAGAAAATGGAAAAGAGGAAGTGAAAAAAAAGGAAAAGAAATCAAAATTATGTCGCATTGTATAATATTCTGGAACAAATGCCTCACTTCTTCTTTTGTAATTTATATTCTTCGCGAGGGAAATACGACATGGAAATAAGGCAAGGATAATATTTGCTTTTGTACATTACCTCAGCGTGCATCTGAAATCCAATGAATCTCTATATTTATCATTTATTGATAAATCAGTGTCTTAAATGTCTGGACTGATAATCTTCAATTAAAACTGCGTTCAAAATGGCCGACTCTTTTTTTTTTAAATATTTTAATTGTAAAAAAACTATTTTCTACGTAGATCTGGATCGAATCGTATTCATTTCACTTGTTCTCCATGAGAATGATCATTTATTGTAAGCTTGCAATTGTATTTCAACATAAGATGCACCCTCCATTAATTTTGAATATGTACAGATTGTACAATTGAATGACTCGTTAATATGCTCGTGTATTAAATACACAAAATTTCAGGAATGACACATTTTTGAATGATTGAAATGTAAGAGATCTACAATACAGAGTAATATATTTTTTTTATGAGAGAGAAACAATTATCTAACAGGAAATGATGTAAAAATGGATTGGACTCAATAAAATGACAGGATTGAATGAAATCTGGAGCTTCTTTTTTTCCTTCTCTTTTCTTTCTTTCTTTCTTTCTTTCTCTCTCTCTCTCTCTCTCTCTCTCTCTCTCTCTCTACCAGCAATCTTGATCATAATCTAATACCCAAAGTGAGGGGTTTTAAGGTTGCAAGTTTGAATATTGTCAGCTTGCCACTGCATTTAGATGAAATTAAATTACTTCTTGAAGATCAAGTGCTGGATGTACTTGCTTTGAATGAAACTAGACTCGACAACTCTATTTCTGATCATTTCTTGTCTATTGATAATTATACCTTTGTTAGAAAAGACAGAAATAGATCTGGTGGAGGTGTCGGTTTGTATATTCATTCTAGAAATAAATTCAGGATCAGGCATGATATAGTTAATTGTGATGAACAGCATGAAATTATTAACATTGAAATTTTAAAACCAAATAGTAAACCTTTTGGCATATGTGCTTTTTATAGACCACCAAATTGTAACAGAAATTTTTTGGAGTCGTTTGACATGAGGAGCTTCATGGTACTTTGAAAATTGTCCGCGGGAGATGTTCAAAATCTTGAATTGTCATGACTACGGAGTTAATCCAATAAAACAATCCTTCAGTTGTTATAGTTAATCCCCTTAATCCCATTAGTAGGTCACATCGATGATTTCTAACTATGACATACACTTATGACTTTCTAATAAAACAAAAGTTTCTGGAGTTGTTTTTCAAACATTGCTGTCTCGCAAAAGGCCGCTCTGATAACTTTATGCCTTTTTATTTGTACCACGCCACTTCTCTAACTTTACAATTCAGAGCATTGCCGAACCTTTGAACTGAATCGATAAAACCATAGTAAGTTGTTGTATTTTTTACTGCATTAACCTATCTGATTCTGCTGTTACGAAGAAAAACTGTGTAAGGAACTTTATTTCGTACGTATAGTTTTTCCGCAAACAAGCTTCTAACTTAGTAAGCCGCCTTTGCGGCCGAGCGCGGACTGTGGAAGAGTCTGTAACCTTGAAGAGGTGGGATCCCTTTGTCATTCTTTCAATATGGTGGATATGTACATGTACATGTAATCTTTTTGGAATTTTCCAATGGATGATCAAATAGATCTTCAGTACTTTCGTCACAAGTTAATAGTTAATTTAACCCTTCAGTATAAATATGATGTTTTGGCGCTTAAATTTAATTTTACGATGGAGGACGAGRCAGAGCACCGGTTTAAGTTGACTCGTGTGTTCGGTCCTTCGCTGGACTCCTTGAAAGTTTGGTACGCTGTTCCAAACAGCTTGATGCCAAATGGCAGAAAAGAAAAATTTTTGAACAGCGACATTGCCAAGTTTTTTCCTGGTGAGATCTTGGAAGTGTCGATCGGAGAGTTGGAGACTCAAGACGTGAAGAAGGCTCCCATTTATAYATTTGGGTCGAAGAAGAAAGACATAGTGGTAGTTGCTACCTCATTTGGCCTGCTTGCGACAAGCCTACGATCAAAAATCGAAAAGAACAGTTTTATAAAATCAAATGTTTTTTTAGAGCTCAAAAATCATATTAACTCTTTCGTTAGCAATGATAATATTATGGCGGGAAAAAATGGCGCCAAAAACATTAGGGTAGATACCCCACCAGAAACCCCTCATGGCAGTGGAACGGTACATGCTCTCCTTCCAGAGACTGATTCACTAAAAAAGTTGGAGGTTAGTTCGTTAGGACCGCGACTTCTGGCAAAAAAAGGTAGTGAAATTGCAAGAGCGTTATGCGATGATGTGAAAAATCGATTGGGTGAAGATAACCTCGGCGCCGTACTTGGCTACAGTTTTTCTTTTGGAGACGAGAACGATAAAAATTTTGTTCAGGAAAGTCTTTCCATTGCCTTGTCTATCGTTGCCAAGAAGTGTGGCTTCAGGAAAGCCTTTAAAGAAATGCTCAGCCAGCCAGTGTATAGTGCCTTTATAGACACTATGAAAGTCCCTGATTGGGTTCAACTGCTTGTCAAGCTCAGTATCAAGATG